ATATCTCTGTCATTAAGGCTGAGATTAGCTTATTACTTAACAGCCAACTTTGTTAAGTGCTCTAAAATTGTATTAAGGATTCTAGTGTCCCAGCTATAATGAATTTTTCCATAAAAATGCCCTGTGAATTTTAGTACAGTAGTATAATAGCTCCATAGTAGAACAGAATAAACTATTACTGAAGTAATTCCTTAACTGTAGCACACGTGGTTGTCTTGAGATTGACAAAATCTAATGGTCCTTAGAAAAGTTCATTTGATCAGATACATTTTTGTTCTCAATTTCCCCAGTTAGTTAGGAAACTGGCATACAGATCTTTCAAACAACGAAGTGACATTCAAAGGAGCATTTCAAAAAGTCCTAAGAAATGAAAAAAATGTATTGTAAGATTTGTATACTGAATACATCATTTCTCATGCTTTGTTATGCCAAAGTCAAAGCTGCGTAGTTATTCACATATTAACTATTCATATCTGTTGTGCCGGGAGGGAGGTCTATGACGAGCTAATATTGTATCAGTAATAATGCCTAATTAGTAAATCATTCAAGACTACATAGTATTAGCCACATTATGGAAACATTTAAGAATGGAACATGCCCCTGTATCATTGCATTTGCATTAAAGATATGACAAGTACCTAATTTGGATGTGATCTGTACAGGACACAAACCAGACTATGAAAATACAGTGCAGCCACCTACCCCATTTAGTGTGACCACCTACAGAGAGAACTATGGCAACAGAGCAAATGGTTGGTGGAACCCTTCCAAAAGATATGGAAGGTCCAGAGATGGGCAAACTGTTGCCACCTCAAGGAGAAGCTGAGAAGGAGCTTCAACTAGAAGACCGCCATTAAACATATTGTGCTCTACCTACATCTAGTGGCATCCACTGTCACCAAGCCAGAAGCCAGTGGTGTCGGCAGGGCTGATGCCTCAAGCAGGAAAGTTCAGAGGAAAAGAAAGCACAGCAGAAACCTGGCTGTGGCCTCTTGACTTGACTTCCCTCATGGGCCCACAACCCAGGGCCCAGCACATGTTGTACCCAGGGGAGGGTTATGGAATATGCCTTGGAAAATATGGCCTTGGGGTGCATGTGGGGACCCCCATCCTACTCTAGAGGTCCTCCTCTCCTCCTCCCCTTGCTACTGCTTCCTCTAGACTTCCACTCAACTGCACAGCCCACTGCCTTTCCACCTATAGTTGTCTCAGGTGTCCCTCCCACTCTCCTGGTCCTGTCTGGTGAGGTGCACCTTGTTCTCACTACCTGACTGACTCCCTGTTTTGTTCATAGCCTTGCCCTGATTCCCTCTTACACCCCACTGGGTGTTGCTTATGTCCCTAATCTAGTCTGTATCTCACCCCTTCCAGGGCCCCTAAAGCTAGCCCAAAAGCCCAAACCTAACTGTGGCTAATCTCCCTGAAGTTCTCATAGCCACCTCACTCTCTGAGACCTGGCTCAGCTATGTCCACCTGCCCATCCCTGCAGGTGGCTGTGGACCTTGCCCCCTGCCTATCGGTAGCCATGACCCCCCGGTCCCCCTCCCAATTGGCCCCAGGTGCAGGGAGTCAAAAGTCCTTGTGGTCATGCTCTGAGCATGACTATATTTTCTAGATGCACAGGGTTCTACAGGACTAGAAACAATTAACAGAAAGTCTCTAGCAATGGAGATTTCATGTAGACTTTACCACACCTGCAGCTCTCCTGTGAAATATGAATTTTCATTTCTACCTAGGAGAACTTTTACAATCTCCTATGCCTGATGAAGGGTGCCTGTGCCCAAAAGCTTGCAAATAAAAACTTTTTTTTGGTGCAAATATCTAGTTGGTCCAATAAAAGATATCACCTCTGCCATGAGTTTTGAGTCCTAGTTATGTAGAGGCACTTTTTGGCTAGAAACAGCTGGAAATTTGCAGCTGATTAAAGTGGCTATAGTTAACTATGTAAGCCCTTCACCCCAAACAGGAGAAATGTGCAGGAATAGAATTTAAAGTCCTGATATAGCTATGTAAGTTACATATGTACTTTGGGCAATACCATATATACCTGAATATAAAATGACCACCCAATTATTAGAACCTATATATGGAAAATGTATAAATTTGTTATAATTTTCCAAGTATACAATCTAACTATTGGAGAGCTGTCTTAGAATCATAGAAGTAGGGTCGGAAGGGACCTTGTAGATCTTCAAGTCCGACCCCCTGCCTGGGCAGGAGAAAAACTGGGCTCAAATGACTCCAGCCAGGTAGGCATCAAGCCTTTCTTAAAGATCCCCAGGGTAGGAGCCAGGACCACTTCCCTTGGAAATTGGTTCCAGCTCCTAGCCGCCCTAACTGCGAAGTAGTTCTTGCAGATGATAGAAATTCCCCCTTCCCCCAACACTGCTACAGCAGGAAAAGCAGCAGCTGATGGGGAGGGGGAAGGATCAGGTGGCTCCCTTGCCCTCTGCCCCATCCATTTCTTCCTGCAACTTATTGCCCCCGTGCCACCTGCACCCCCCCATCCCAGCTTCCCAAACCTCTGCCTCTTCCCCCTCTACTCCCTCTAGTTTCTGCCTCTTTCCTTCCCCCCACCCTTACTGTCAGAAGCTGCTGGGGCTGCTCCAACCTGGAGCACAACAAGTAGAAGCTGCCTGGCCATGCAGCTGTGTGGACACTACTGATTGGCCAGGCGGTGCCAGGACTGCCCATTGGCTTGGCAGGGGAAGGACTTTCCATGTGTTCCCAGCCCAGGAGAGACCCCAGCTGGATCAGGATCTGAACTGTTCTTCACAGTAAAGGGGAGGGAGGCAGATGGGGGGAGCAGAAGCTGCTGTGGATCTGACTCTGGCTCTGATCCAGGCTCAGGACTAGTTAGAGCTGCAGCAGCTGCCTGCTCCCTCCTTCCACGTTGCATGCAAGTATTAGATGAGGGACTTTTTCCCCATGCTGTTTGGGGAAAAAAACCCTCATCTTATATTTGAGTAAATACAGTAGGATACCACCCTAAGTTGCCATCACATCTAATGGCTTAAACCAGTGTTTCTCAACCTTTTCACTTAAGGCACACCTCACTAGACTCAAAGCATCCCTAGTTAGACTCAAAGCACCCTTGGAAAATGCTAGCTTACTTTTCATCCATTTTTGACTATGGAAAATAATAGAGAAAGTCTTCTGTTGCAAAGAACTCAGAAAGACCACAACAGGTCAGAAAGTTTTAACACTGTCCTATTTGAAAGCTCTAGGCTTATCTTGTGAATCATGTTTGCAAATCTAATAGTGCTCATGTTGTGTGACACCCTGCTGCATCCTTCTGAGGAACTTAAGGCACCCCAAGTGTGCTGCAGCACCCTGGTTGAGAACCACTGGCTTAGACAATGAAACAGTAATAGAATCTACACTACTGAATAGTAATATAATGTCACCCCAAGTGGCAGACTCCCAAGATCCATATAAGGCTCCAGGACAATGACAATATACTCAAAGCTTTCAGTGAACATAAATATTACTGTAGGATATTTTGGTCATGCTGTGCAAAGTTTTGTTAAAACAGCCATCTGTGGCCTGCTTGATTGCCCGTGGCAAAAAGCAGATATTTTTCAGCATTCCCTTTTTACATTCTTCTTCTATCTCTATACAACTCACAAATACGTAGAACTGGGTATCTCTGTGGAATCAGATGCTATATTTATCTGATGGAAAACAAAGGGATCCTGACAATCTTGTGCTCTGCTGCACTCTGTGAAATCTCACCGTATCTGCCATTCAGATGCTCAGGCACTATAGGGATGAATAGTGTATAAACATATATCACTGAAATAGATCCTAGGCCCCCTTGAAGAGCTAGCTTTCAAGGCAAACTGCAGGCATTTCAATACTTCATCTATGCAGTGAAGTCTCCAATAGTTCATAAGCTGAACACTCAAGAAGCTTCACATCTAGGCAACACACCATGAATAAAACAAATCTGAGCAGTTCAGCCACACTGGGCGCTTCTATGCGAGATGTTTACTGCAGGTCGCCTAATAAGCTCCACAATAATCATCTCAGTGTCTACACATGCAGTGCTATTAGAACGGAGTAAACTAATTAACTCTGTAGTAGGTTAGTACTTGTATATACAAGTACTATACTACTGTGGAGTTTTTTAACTCCACAGCCTCACATGTGTAGACATTGATGGGGTTGGCCAGAGTACAAGGGTGCATCAGTGCAGGGGCTGCCTGCCAGCTAGCCCCACACTGAAGTACCCTCGTGCCCCTGCCAGCCCCTTGATAGCATGCTGAGCTGAGTCAGAGGAGCCCCTGGCTGGCTATAATGCACCTGCGTCTCTCAGTGCTTGGAGAGATGCACCAGGGGAGCTATAACTCTTAACGTTTCCAAACTTAAACATGCTTACTTTGCAAACTAAATAAAGGTCTTTTAATGTAGGACTGCTGTTGTCTGAAGAGCAAAGTGAGGCATTTTCAGTTGAGTCAGTGAACACTGTAAAACAATCATGGACTGTTCATAAAATGCAGCATTTTTCTATCTTTATTCCACAGCAAGAAATATTATTAATGCTGATCCCAGCCTGGCCTTTAGTACCTTATGCTCTTCTGAATGTTCAGCAAAAATCAAATTTTGACAACCAGGACATGCCCCTTCCACACCCACTTCCTCCTTAAAGCTGGCAATATACATGGGGAATGAGGTTCAAGTACCCTAGTTCATCCACCCATTTGCATGGCTGCATTGCATAACGGAAGGTTTAAGTGCAGCAGCTGGGCAGAGCTGCAGTTGCAATACAAGACCCGACCATGGGGAGAATCACATCCCTCACCTGGCTGGAATGCATGTGACCAAAGAAAGAAGGTGTGTACAAACTTTGAGGCTTTGAATAGACATTGCATTTGTCCTGAGAAAGCCTTTTGGAGCAGTTACATGTTCAGGCCAGCAAGGGCCTAGAGGACAGAAAGGTAAGAACCCTGTGCTGTCATTATGTGGGACAATAGTGATCTGAGATTTGGGGTACTGGGAGGCAGGACAGGTGGGGTGTTTACCCTGTAGTGTAACATGAGCTGTGTAGCACAGATCAGAGAATTGTGCCCTGGAGTGATATAACTTTGAGCTGCCTAATGAGTTCTTAAAACTAGTTTCAGATCCAGGGGTTAAGAGCTTCAGGAACTGCCCAAAACTACCACGTAACAAGGCTCTGAGTTTGTAAAGTTACTGTGGGTCATTCCCAGGACAAGCTGGCTAGGTTGTGGGTTCTCACTTGATACCTGCTGTATAGTCTGCATCTGTGTAGGACACAGGGGTCTTCCGGCCATGGTGATTGTAAGGAATGAAGTGGGAAGTGCATGTGGTCCATGAGTTTAGTGATGGGCAAATGGAAGTGTAGTTTCAGGTGGCAGCGTGAGCAGATGACACTTGTCAAATGTAGATGTGAGATTCTTTCAGTGTGGCAGGCCAAAAATCTGACTGTGTGCTCCAGCACAGTACTGTGACTTTTTCGGCAAATTTCACGATGAAATTATACACAACTACTAGTCTGGTAGCACTTTTTCCCCACACTTGTGCCTGAAGTAATTTAGTTATGAAGGCCCTGGGACAAGCATAAAATAAAAACTGTTGCATGCATCTTATAGGGACAGGTCTCCAAACAGTCATGCAATGAATGCCCAGCTTACAAAAGCACATGTAGGCCCAACTACTAAAGACAAAAATGAGGATGCCTTCCTGGAGTACATTCTAGTTACTGGAGTTGAATCAAGTTGTTACACTGCAGACTCAATGCTCCACAGCACTACCATCTATTACAGTAATTCATGAGAACTACAAATCTGCCTTGGGTCACCTCAAGAAACAAGGAACTATTTGGACCTGAGAAGAGATCCCTACAGACTATTGGGATGCTGAGTGAGTAGCTGCAGTACTGTAGTACAACACAAAAATCTATTTGGTCTACAAGAAAGTTAGAGCCAGTTGATGAGCTTTCCAAGTGGTGTTCATGTCTGGTCAAAATGGTAAAATCTTCTGGAAGTGTGTGCATATACACCAACATCTCTGAACTCAACAAGAGTGAGAAATGTGAACACTACCCCAGTCTAGCAGTTGAACACACACTTGGCCAGCTACAAAAAGCAAAAATATTTAGCAAATTTGATACCAAACCTGACAGATATCACTGTCTCAGGAGTTGTCTATTCTCACCACATGCATTACTCCATTTGGGAAAGAGAGATGCGAATGCTTATCATTTGGGTTATCTTCTGTGCCTGAGATCATTCAGAAGATGATTAGCCAGCTGTTAGAGGGTCTAGCTGTTAGAAGGTCTAGAAGGGGCAGCCTTCCATTTTAATTACATCTTGATCCATGACCCTAGTATACAGATCTACCAGGATTGCCCATACAAGTTGCTACATATACTTCAGGAAGCAGAGTACTTTAGACTTACTCTAAATCTGAACAGATGTGAGTTGGGTGAAGACAATACCCAATTCTGATCCTTTGCCCCTCGCATCATTTGGCCATTTTCAACCCATCCACGGGCTCTCCACTCACAGCTTTCTCAAAAGACTAGGAGTTTTACCTGTGTTATTTCAGTCCCTCACTTTGCTTAGATCAATGGGTACACTAAGGCTGCAAGAAAAGATAGTGAAGTCCCATAAAGAAAAAACATAGGTCACCCATACAAGAAATTTTTTGGCATATCTTGCTACATCATTTGCAAGTGGTTTCAGCCTAGCTGAACTACTCCTGAGCAGGTACCTTCACATTCCCATTCCACTAAGTCCACTACAGTTCAAACCTCATATCCATGAGAACTGCATTCTTCAAGCAAGGGAAAGTAAACATATGCAACAATGAGAGAGACATTATGACAGACATCATGGATTGCAAGAACTTCCTGAACTCCAGCTTTGTCGATCAGTCTGGATCCCTTATGGACTGACACTTAAGGACAGAGCAAGGGAATACAACTCTCTCCAAGAGTATGTTGAATCACCATATAGGCTGCTCCATGAATCTTATATTCCAACACCCTTCACCACAAATGGTTCAGGAGACAATACTTGACACTCAGATGAGACACCAATGCCGATTTCTTATTCAGCTTCAGACACTGTTGATTTTGCAGTGCTTCCACCAAAAAGTGCTGGCTTGTGCTTCTCCTATCACAGGAGTGGATGTTGGTAAAATCTTCCAGGAGACTAGATTTCTAAAGGTCTTTGTTACATGAGCTAGTTTTAAAGAGGTAGATGTGTAATAATGCAGTTTGCCTCTGCAGTGTAGCTAGGTGTCTATATAGTATAGTCACCCTGGCATGACAGATCATTTGCTGAGGTCTAGAAGCATAGAGCTGTTTGAGAGCCTGGGGATGGGAGGGGGTTGTACTGAGTGGAGTTACAATATAATATTATCATTTTCCCTTTTTGCTGGAAGTTGCCATTGTGCTGTTTGTACTGGAATAAGCCTACTTTCCAGAGAAGAAAACATTACTTCCATTTTCCCCCATGTTATTAGCTACCCCCAACAATATATATAATTTTAATTGCATCAGATGTGAGAAAGAAGGGGAAGTTTCATTGCTCTCTGCAATGAGAAGGTCAGCTTTAATTAAATACACTCTTGCTTGCTTCAGCAGTTCAGAATCTTGTACAAGTCCTATGAATAAAAAGATTTAAGCGGATTTGAGTAGCATGAAACACAGAACTTGAATGGATTTTCTATTGAAACTTGCCCTAAATCAGTTAATATCCAGTTCTCAGATATGATTTGTAACATACAATTATTACAGGGTTTCCTTCCTTTAAATTTACAGAAGCCACAATACACTAAAGCCAAAGCTAATAATTGCTGTTTACAGATGTGAAAAACCACAAAAAAAAGGCACTTTAAATTCTGTGCGTCCTCGTGCCGAGCCCAACACATGCCCATGAGAGGCATTGTGTTAGATCCAGTTTGCCCAACGTCTCTGTAGATCAGGTGCTTTAGCGGGGCTTTTATCTACTAGCTGATTGAATCAGCTAGTAGATAAAAAAGTGCCAAAAAGCCCTTCTGAGGCCTCTGATTTATACAGATGCTGCAGAGCCAGGTCAAACTAACACACTGTGTCTTCCAGCAAAGGGCTTTTTTCTCACCCCCCACATCCGTCACCAACCTTTAACCATACAGAAGGGCTTGTTTCAATCTTTGTGAACATGTGGTTTAAATTGTCCACATAGTTTGAGAAACAAACTGGAAAATTGAAAGTACAGACTGTCCAGCAAAACCAAAGACAAGTTTCATTCATGGTTATGCTTTAGTTTCATAGCTCATAAATTAATATTTATGGTTTAAGCAAACAATAAGTGAGGTTCTTGTTTCAGATTCAATTCTCACAACATTTCATATCAAAATGTGTGAGTTTACTGTGTAAGATACTTACACTGACAAATATATTTGTGCAACACTACTTGCATTAAAATTGATTCCTGTATAAGTTACTGGCTGATTCAATTATTTTGTAGTATTTACTTCATGAATGTTTTATGGAAAGTTATCTTGAAATTATACATAAGAAGGTTTGGGGAAAAAAGCTTTTCTTTTTTCATTTTGCTGGAGGGTGAAGTCAGTCATCCCCTGAGAAACCCTATCCACTTACCTATTGTAACTGGGTGCTAACTCCTATTTCATGTTATATGCCTAAATGGCACATACCCAAACACATAATTGCAGTTTTTGGCACTTATGCATAGTTTGGAATTCTGTGTCACTCTGAGGCAAAGTAGGATCCCCTGGAAGTCAAGTAGTAGAGGTGGATGGCGTCCCATGTCTTATTCTAGTGAGTAAGTGACTCAGGTTCTAAGGCCCTCTTCAGAGAGGGGATTGACCCTGTATCGTCTGCTTCCTGACAGAGTGCTCTATTCACAGGTTAGACATTATCCAGAGCATTATTTATTTATTGAGAAAGTTTAAAATGCAAGTCTCCTGCTCACTGTCCAAATGTGGTAACCAGTCAATTATAGGACTTACACACAGGAAAGCCTTCTTCTTTCCCAACCAGTTATAGGATTTTGTCCAGTCACAGTTTCAGAAGTTACCCAGCTTTATACAGGTACCTGAGAACATGTAGGCAGATACCTTCCTAGCAGTATCATAGCTTTACTGAACATGCTTAGTAGACACATGCATGCTTCTATATCCAAAATGATTCATACGCTGTAAGTGCCAAAAACAGTAGTTACATGGCTGTATATATGATATTTGGGCTCATGAAATGAACCAGGATTCTGCCCTGGAGGCCACATACTGTTACATATATTGGGCATCTAAGGGTTGCCAACTGTCCGTAAATTTACACATACTCTGTAAATAACCAGGCTAAGAATGCCCGTTTGTAAAATCCTTAAATAAAAAAAAAAAAAAAAAGCCATCCATAAAACCACAAAACCACTGGAGCTGATGGAAGCTGTCTGGTGGGAAAGCACTTAGTGTTCCAGCAGGAGTTCAGTACCTTGAAAGCTCTTGTCAAGGCTTTATATTTCACAGGATCCTATGTCACTCCTTCCCCAACCCCCAAACATGTGCTGGTCCTCTTGGTGCTGCCTCCTATCTGCCGGTAACAATGCTGGGTCAGGTAGGCAGATAGTGGTCTTTCTTTGGGAATTTGTGCTGTGAAGGGGGAGAGGTAAAGCTGGGGGATGGTCTGTAGAGGGCAGCATGGTACAGGGTTCATTCAGGGTACCAAGGTGTGGAGGTGAATAGAGAACACTTGGGATGGGGGTAGCAGAATGTAAAACCATTGCTGCAGTCAAGTAGGGTTCCCAACCATATACACACACATTTTACTGATTATCTGAAACTTTACTGACAACCACACTTTTTACTATGGATTGAATCCTGCCCTAGTCCACAGATGGCAGAAGGGTTACATTTATGTTACGTAAAACATGTCTAAAAACTTACGACAGTAAAAAGAAATGAGTGTCAGTAAAAAGTCTACGGATTGCCAGTAAAATCAAATTCCTCGAGTTGGCAATCCTGGGCACACTTACCGCAAACCCACTACAAAAGTGAAAAAGAGGAGAAGAGGGAGATTCTGGAATGCTGAATGGGGTGCTGGAATTTAACTCCACCTGAATAATAAATAGCCATGGCCTAATAGTTGGTCTGACTATTGGATGTTGTGCATCATTACTATTTAGCTAAATGAAAGATTTAAGAAATCAGAAACAAAATACAATAAAGCATTCAAATCAGCCCAACTAGTCCCAAAACAAACAGTGATCACTGTGCTTCATGATCACTGCCTATGACCTATAAAATGGAGTTACTGTCTGAGGGTATAAAATTAAAAAGGAACTGGTTTTTTTAAGTGAGACTCATCAGATAAAATCCTGGCCCCACTGGAGTCAATGGGAGTTTTGTCATTGACTTCAGTGGGGCCAGAATTTCACCCAGTGTCAACTGTTAATTTGGGAAGTCAGGCTCTTAATACAAAAGCACCACAGCCACTGCTGCAGATGTAGAACTGGAACTAACACTGTTAAGTTTACTTTAGTCTGTGTATTAAAGGAGCCAAGTCTAGATAGAGGGTTCCCTGACTCCATTCTAAATAGGCAGAGAACTTTACTCCTTCAATATCTCAGCCTCTTTCTCTGAGGAAGCACTGTCAACTGGCCTCTTCTGAAGATGAACCATCATGTTTCATTTTTAACTAGCTATCCAGCAAGTTACCACACAGATATTGCAGACAGTTGTCCACACAGCTACACCAGGGGATCACAAATGACTGTGTTCTTGAGTATTGCTGCTATTAATCTCTTTTGTAACAGTTGCAGACTGTGTGATTCTCTTATTCCCAACCAATTTAATAGGTCAAATTAAAAATGCTCTTAGAAGCACTCTGAAAAGCACCTACAACAGCTAAATATCTGCAAGTCAGCAGGACCAAATGAACTATACCCAAGGCTGCTAAAAGAACTGGACGACATCATTGTGCAACCTACGGCCAAGTTATTTGAAGACTCGTGGCACTCGTGAGAGGTCCCAGAAGATTGGAAGAAGGCCAATACGATGCCTATCTTTAAGAACAGGAGAAGGGAGGACCCAGGAAATTACAGGCCAAACAGTTTGACCTCAATCCCTGGTAAAATCCTGGAGAAAATTATCAAAGAATCCATTACAGACAGGCTAACAGAAAGTAGTATTCTGAAGGATAGCCAACATGGCTTCATTATGGGCAGATCATGACAGACCAACCTCAATTCCTTCTATGATTAGGTAACTCACCACCTGGATAGGGGAAATGAGGTTGATGTCATATACCTGCACTTCAAAAAGGCTTTTGATCTGGTCTCCCACAAAGTCCTCATGAAAAGAAGTGGGAAAATGCAGCCTCGACTACTTTACAGTCCGGTGGCTAGGTAACTGACTCCGTGGTAGAACCCAGAGAGTATTGATTGATGGAACTGAGTCATGATGGCAGAGGGTGACGAGTGCTTTTCAGCATGTTCATCAACAATTTGAATTCGGGAATTAAAAGCGAACCAGAAAAGTTCACTGATGACACCAAACTACGGGGGAGCATGGCCACCCTCAAAGACAGGCTGGCAATATAGGCTGACCTCAACAGGCTCATGGGGTGAGCAGACCTCAAGCTGATGTCTTTCAGTACAGAGAAATGTAAAGTCCTTCAGCTGGAGAGAAGTAATCCACAACACACTTCCAGGTTCGGCAGTGTTACGCTTGCTAGCACCACATCTGAACAAGACCTGGGTGTCACAATAGAAAACAAAATGAACATGAGCCACTAGTGCAATGCCGTAGCTGACAGAGCTAATCAAACACTGGCATGCATCCACCAAGGCATCTCGAGCAAGGCAAAGGTTGTCATCCTCCTGCTCTACTCGGCCTTGGTGAGACTGCAGCTAGAGTACTGAGTCTGGTTCTGGGAGCTGCACTTCAAGAAGGATGTGGAAAAGCTCAAGAGAATCCAGAGGAGGGCCACATGCATGATTAGAGGCCTAGATTAGAGGCCTAGAGACCTAGAGGCCCAGAGACCAGGATATCCTTCAGCCTGGAAGGATATCAAGGGCGGACATCAGGGCCTGGGGGACCATCTGTTCACCAAGGCCCCCCGAGGGGAGGACAAGAAATAATGGGCACAAGCTGATTGAGGATTGCTTCAGGCTAGACATAAGGAAAAGCTTCTTTACAAGTCGAGTACCAAGGGCTCGGAACAGGCTCCCCCCCCGAGGTGGTACAGTCATCCACCCTGGTGATCTTCAAGAAGTGCCCTGATGCCCATCTGATCCCAGCAGTCTTTCCTGCCCAAGTACAGGGGCTCGACCTGATGATCTGTAAGGTCCCTTCCAGCCCCTAATAACTATAACGTATAATAAATTATTATTATTATTACTATTATTATTTAGATTTATATCCTGTTCTGCTCTGTTTATGCTTTCCTCAGCCTTCAAATACCAGTAAATTAGATTCCAAGATTTAAACACACATTCACAAACCCTTTTACCAGTATGTGACAGGCAGCCCTTAACACCATCCTAAAGTTTGACCTTCAGAACTTAATGGAGGCCAAACTGGTGGAAAAGACATGCTGAACAGCTGGAAGAAAGGGATGCAGCAGAAAATGCAGCTGGAGTAGAAATTATGTTTATGGCAAAAGGCTCAAACCTGCAGAGCAATGGGAGTCTGGAACAGCCTTCTAATAGGAATCATGGGATAAAAAAAAAACCCAACAAAACACTTAAATATTTTTAAAATGAAGCTTCATTTTATAACTAAGGGTGAGGGGAGGGAGGAGGGAAGAGCAGGTAGCAGGGCACCAGCCCCAGGTGCCCAATGTGAAGAGGGTGCAAAAATATTAAACACTGCTACTACCAGCCCAGAGATGCTGGTGATGGCAACAACCCAACCACTGCTGGCATGCGGGGCACAGAACTGCCCAGCTACACCTATGGCAGAGCTTGATACATCTATGAATGGGGTTATATGATGTGGTTGCCACAAATAGCATGGAAGTTGACCCAGTGAACTTAAAGACCCCTTCTAGTCCTATGGAAAGTAGGTAATCTCTTGTGCCAATGAGAACAAGGAGCAGGAGTTTGCTAACAGACTTGACTGGTGGTCACACTCCTCCAGCCACATTTGTGCAACCCTATTAAATTAACTAGAATTGATGTGGTGAGAATTTGGCTTTGAATCACCAAGTGATTGTGTAACTGTACACATGCTGCTGCTGCATAGTGATGGCTCCCATTGTTTTCATTTCTGCCAGCTGTAAATGGAGCATGAATTCTGCTAAGCCCTGGCCTGTCCAGCGATCAGAAAGCAGACAGTATTTTGTAGTTATGTCTTCACTCCGCTGTTTCTTGTAATAGTTACTTTAGTTTCAGGCAGAGAAATCCATTAAGCCCAGGATTAAAGAGCACAGAACAAAAACATTAAATACAAAATAATTCTGTGTACACACTGGTTTCTAAGTTCTCCTCTCTCTTTCCTCCAGTTGCATCTGTTTGATCTTACATAACACAGTGACCACATTAACTTGGCTATTATATGATACGATCATAAGCAGACATCCCCAAGCAAGGCTTATTAAATACTGTGATAAAGATTAAAATTGCATTGAGTCTACAATCAATTAAAATACATGTTTTGATACTGGTAATCCCTACATTTTCAGAGCGGTCTATATAATTCCATCGACTTCTGCAGGCAATAATGTGCTTCATTTTATTATTATTCGCTCACTTCCATTTTTCCAATTGTCATACAGTCTGGCATGATACATGATTCCCAATTTCCATTTTTGGTGAAACAATCATTGGGTCGCTTACATTTATCATCTTTTTTCACAAAAGTATAATAGCAGAATTATGACAGCAGATTTGATCAGTGCTTCTTCCCCTTAATTCACTGAAATGAGGCACATTTAGACAGCATGAAAACTTCTGAGACTGTTAAAATCTGAGCTATCAAGTGTAAAACTGAGTCTAAGACAATATGGTCTACTGATTTTTCCCTTCTATGGGTCCACATCCATTAAGTAAAATGAAAGTCAAGATTATAGATTATAGTATATTATTAGCATCGGTGTAGCAGTAAAAACAGGTACTGATTTGTTGCTGATGAATCCAGTTTGGTACAGAAAAAGGAACAATACTATAAACACAAGAAAATAACTCCTAACCTTTCTGAATGATAGCATTTCAATTCTAAGGGGCTTAAGAAAGTCCTGATGACATGCTTTTGTAAGTACTTTCTCAGGACATTTACACTCATGTTTATTCTGCCAGTCTGAAATGTTAGAAAACACAACATTGAAATTATTTTTGTCTGATTATTTTACAGCTACCATTACCTGCTTTCTTTTGATTCCACTGACTTATTTTCTCCGCTGTCTTTAAGTCCAGTTCCGCAATAACTTTTTCCTTAGAAAAATAAATTACTGTTTCTTGACCTGGTGAAGCAGATTCATGAGAAGCTGCAGTGACATCAAAAGATGTAGCTGAAGTGATCCACCTTGCAGGAGACCTTGTGCTAACTGCAGTCTGACTCAGAGACACTCCACCTGGTAAGTGTCCCTTATCTGTGCTTTCTTTTAAAGAAACAGTATTGACAATGCTAGTTACAGGTGTAGTTGTTGTTTCAGTGAGGCCCCATAGCCGTTGCCACCACCACTGACCTTCTATAAGGCCAGACTGCATGAAGAAAATAACCCAGCCTAGTTTGCTGAACATCTTTCAGCACTTCAGACAATGATCAAGCATCAGATGTCCTTGCTTGATCACGGTCTCCAATCTCTACAGCTGGTAAAAGGAAAAAGAAATTACTTCAGCCTTAAAGCTACTTAAAGATGTTTCATGTTGCTGCCACAGTTCACAGGAAGCCTTCAGACATGTTTTGCAAGCTTAAATGTCTAATTTACAGTCGAAATTTTCCCTACTAATCACTTATGTCCTTGTGTAATGTAGCTCTGAAGCCAGTTAGTTACCAACTTCTTTTTTTCATGGAAATGAAGGGCATTGAGCCAGCTTCAGGAGGAGTTTCTTGCTTACACCAATCAAAGTACTGGACCCCGAAGGGGTGGGGGGGAGAAATCTTGCCTCAAGCAGCTACAACAAATGAAGAGACTTTTGTTTTACAAGTCTCCCTGGTGGCATGATCTGTGCAGTAGCAAAAATAATCCTTGTTCAGTAATCCTTAACTAATACTATGGTTCTCATTAAACAAGCCTGGAGTGCCTTGTGACATGACTGGAACAGCAACATACATATTTTTATTTGAAGTTTGTTGGTGCTGAGTTTTATATATTTGGAAGACCTCAGAAGAAGCTAGGTGAGGGACTTCATATGTTTTACTGTGATTATATACAAAGTTCCTCTTTGTCCCAAGTCTTCTACCATATTATAACATTTTACAGTTCAGAAAAGGCAAGAAAACTCTGTCCAATCACTCTCAAATTGCCCTGTGGTCCTCACGCAGATCTTGGCTAGGGACAGACATTCAAAAAAGCCTGAGCCTGAATTGATTCAATCTTTGCAGGCTAATCTAATCTGCCTAGCTTGAACCAATTTGGAGGCAGATAGGCATTCCCTTTTCATTCCAGAAATGCAGGCATATGCCTGCAGTGGCTCAGGCTAGAAGCCAGGGGGCACTAGAGCAGCCCTCCCTTTCCTTGCACACTGCTGAGCTGAGGGGGACTGTGTCCAGGCCCCATCAGGACACACTGATTAGGGAGGGGTGTAAACCCCCTACCCTGCCTACACCACCCCAGGCTTTTCCCTTGCTCACTGCTCAAGGGGCAGGCATGTTGTCAGACCCCAGCCTCAGGCTAGTGCTCTGAGGCAAAGAGGGGCAGGGGTGTGCAGTACATGCATTTGTTGATGATATTGAGCTTTTCAATTTCCCTCTCCATCTGCAAACCTGACAGGGATTCAAACCAGCAGTGGGGCTGATAAAACCACAGTATTATCAACTCATCAGAAAAACAAAGCCTCTTTCATTAGTTCAAGCTCTTCTTAAACAGCTTTTTTCCAAGGAAGGAATGGAGGGACATTGCCAGTTGCCCCATTGATTAGCTCCAGAAAGCCCTAAGCTGACACTGTTCTGTCTGCCTGTCCCAGTGAAACTGGAGACACAGACACCTCTCAGCACTAGCTAGCATACCACATGCCTACGGTCTGTGGGGCTGGGTTCTGTACTGTGGGAGGAAGAGAGAGGGGAATCCCTGCTTGAGCAGCAAGCAGCAAGAGAAGCCAGACAGACCCTGCTGTGCCTGCAGTCTCCCCTGGAGCTCTGGCTAGTGGGGAGAGGGGCAAGGCCAGCCTGTTCTTTGGAGCAGAGAGCACAGCCCAGCCCAGCCCAGGGCTGCAAAGCATCTGGGATGCTGGGGGACTCCAGTTTAATTTGAAACCGGGAAGGGGTCTGGGATAAACATTGCATAAACCAGTTTGACCCAGATCAGTTAAGTCTGATACTGTATTCAACCAGATTTATCTTAAACCAGTTTCAGCCATTTTGAAACTGGTTTATGTGCTCTGAACATCTGTTCTGTTGCAGGTTTAAACCAGTTTCTGATCACTTAAAACAGTTTGTGTGTAACTTCTGTCCCTAGTCCTTTGCATTCCCCTGTAGATAACCATTTAGTAAACTGCTGCTGGCCCAGAACTATGAGCCTTAGAGAGCACAAGACATTGGACTGAGCAGTAGTAGAACCTCAGGAAAAAGTTGCTAGATTATTCAAATGTATCACGAGTGTTGTGAGCAGATCAGAGGACAAAGGAACTATTGGACAGTTACAGAAAAAAGCTGGGTCTTATTTAACGACCAGGTCAGAACCAGCACACAGGCAGGGCAAGGCAGTGACTTCCCAAACGACATTCACAATCAGAAAATTATACATAAGGAGAAGTAGAAATTAATCAAAATAAGAAGAGTACCCAGTGGCAAATAACTCATGGAAGTCAGACTCCACCCTCCCACGTATGCTCCTCTCACCCAGAGGGATAGACTTCCATCTTCAGCTTCCTCTGTGCAAAAATGAAGTTTATATCCTACCTATGGGAACTTTTTATCATCTTTAATTTTCCCTGAACCTGATGAAGGGTGTTCAAGCCCAGAATCTTGCAGGAAAAAAAAAAAAAATTATGAGTAATTTCTTAGTTGGTCTAATAAAAGGTACCATCTCATGTATACTCCTCTGCTTTCTTGACAGTATATAACAATGCCATCCTGCTTCATGAAATGCTCGGTTTTCCATGGTCAAAAGCTCCTGTTTGCATCTCCATTGTTCCTGGAGCTCGTTATGTTCTGAACTTCTCTAGAAAATTCCCTGTTCCACTCTAGAAGGGGTTCAGGGTGAAATTCATTCTGGAATAGAAATTTAGTTCAACTCTTCCCTGTGGTACTTTAAACCGTGCATAATTCGAAATGAGCTTGAAGACTGAAGTCCCTACGCAAAGACGATGAACTTTCGCAACAATAAAGACATAGAAATAATTACTTTCAGTTCATACCAAAGTATTATCCCTAAGCCTTCTTTTCCTGCTTTACTGTGGAATTACATGCATAAAATTTCCTTAAGCCACCTCAACACTGCCTTCCTCCTACAGCTTTAAAGGGACTAGAAAAATAGCTCCAGTTTATTTCCTGCCCTAGGTGTGGGGCACAGCAGCACTGAATCTGGAGAAAAGGCTCAAGTAACCAGCAAGTACCTAGAAGTTTTTCTGTAATGTGTGCTGTAAGCAGGCACTGGAAAAATAGGACATTTTTCTCTCTTCCAGCTTTTCACTGGTGGTGGAAGATATGTTGCAAATATAAATTATAGCAATGAAGACCCAGTTGTTGACAAAATGATCCCCACATATATTGCATAGCAACAGCAAGAGAAGAGGCTAGAAAAACCATCACTGCCAGATTAGACGTTATTATCTCTGTAATGGAACTGCTTTTGCTGCAATTCACCATTTGATTTTTCCATGAACTGAGAGCACCTCTCAGGAAACCTATTAATTTTTCTATTAATGTGTGGAATTGCAGAACAGGGTAGGAGCAGCACTGCTGTCAGACAAGTCTTGTGCCCCGAGGCAAACCCTACTGGAAAGAAGAGAGTTTAGGTGCATGTTGCGTGGAAGGGGGTATTGACCAGAAAGCCAAGTAGGAAAGAGAATCCTTTTACCTTCCCCAGGGATACAATGTCCACAGCTGGTGCAGTTCGCCTGCCCCTGGGTGTTGCTCCTGCTGCTACCAGCAAGTCCCCAGAGGACTGTTATTCTGGCACCTCTTTTAAATCAGGACCTGAGGCTTGATGGTCCACTCGCCTACCCCTAGATACACTATTAGTTGTCTCATCATAAAAGGGCACCAGGCTGCCACCAGAAACACTTGTTTTCTAGCATGTGCTTCTAGCCATGTAAGAACTACTGTTATTGCAAAGGTGTTGAGAAGACATCCCTAAGAAGAATACAAGGATTTTCAACGTGGCAAGAGAGAAGTCTAAGCTGAGAAAGTGTCTAACTATTATTGGTATTGGGGCAGAGCTGGACTTGTTCATACACACAAGAAGAGCATAGCAGGAGATTCTGGCCAAAGTTCGTGCCAAGATGCTTGCATTCAGCTCCCATCAGTCTGATGGGAGGTGAGGGTATAGCTATACCTATATACTAGTTTTGTACCTTTAACTGTTTGCATCGGAGTTGTGTTTGCATCAACATAATTACTCAGTCCAACTAGTACTTCGGACATAATTACAGCAGTAGAAAGATGTCCACCAACATAGCTTATTTCCTTAAATTAATGGAAATACAGTTTGGTTGCCCAGAAATGATTGTTCATTAGGTCTCACTTTTGTTTCAATGGCAAAGCAATCAGTTAATTAGACACCTACCTAGAGCCAAATTCAGCCGTTAAACATTCATATGCAACTCATGGTAACATCTTGGTGGTTGCACGTGCTCATCTAAGAGGACATTGGGGACACTTTGAACCCAGGCAGCTCATACATGGCATTGTGCAACAGAGGCAGCAGCAGAAGGATGCAGAGCCCAGCCCTCAGTAGCAGCCCACCTCCACCCTGTGCACAGATCTGGAGGGCACATGCCCCCCGACCTCTACCAGGGGGCGCAGTGGCAGGAGACCCCTCGTGCCCCTGGATGACCACCTGGGTTCCAAGCTTCCCATGACCTGACCCAGCCAGGACCCCATTCACCCCAGCTCCTGCCCCTGTCTCTGCCCCGCTCTCCCCCTCCATGTGGGAGCCTCAATCTGCAAGCCCCTTCCCCTTCACAAAGTAGACTGATACTTGTCTGCTAGTGCTGGGCAGTGATCCACATGCAGGGCTGTGGTCCTGGCTGCATGCACACCCCTCCCCACCCCTGCTGAAGCCTCCCAGAGCTGTGGCTGAGCTGCCCTACAATACTATCCGCTGCCCTGAGTTAGGAGGGGTTAAGCCCCATTAGCCCTGGCCTTCTGCCACCTATGCCCTTCAGCCACTCCTATACCTTACAGCCTAAACAGCAACATAAAGCAAATACAAACATAATAAAGTGTGGCTGGGGTGCTTTTCTCAAAGTTTCCCACAGGTTTCTACTCAGTTATGCTGGCTTCTCCCAGCTTGGGCCTTACTGGGCCTACTCACAGCTCCCAGTCTTTTGTATTACCTCACCACTCAGCACAGACAGCCCATTTACTTAGCACAAGCAAGGTCAGTCTGCAGCTCCCTCCTCTACTGATCTCTGGTCCCAGCAGTAAACTTCCTCCCACTCTGCCCAAGTCAAACTACCCCCTTGTACAGGGCTTACCTAGCTCCTGACTCCTTTTCATCACTTCTCATCATCCTTTCAGCAGGCTACAAGTGTTTTCCCCTGGTCTCCTTCTCCTACTTAATTAGCTGCCAGCTGCTCATTATTTTGGTTGCTGCAGCTTTCTAACTCTACTGCTTAGTCCTATTCTCAGTAACAGTGCTTGGCC